AAATATTTACGTATGTCGGCTGATACCAACAACATTAGCCTCTGTTGTAAACCTCAAAAATTTACATCTAAAGCCATCAAATGTTCATGGTTTATCTTGTTCAGGGTTTCCACTTTCAAGGAAATTTCCTTTTTAGAGAAATTTTTACTCAAGAAATGGGTTTAAAGGAAAACTTCGAAATTATGAGGTCCTATTATTGCAAGATCAAACATTTTGCAGCTCTCGTGTATTTTTAGGACTAAAATCCGTCCAGAAATTTCAAGGCCACAATCCGCCTGTGTGCAGGCAAGCCACATGTTTGATTGTTTACATACATACTTTTCAGTCTATTGTGAAATTTTGTGAAATGGATTATTCATGAAGCGTGCAAACGATGTTAATATTGACCAGGAAAGTAAACTTGACCCGAAAAAAAAAGAAGTATGACCAGAAGTTTCTAAATGCTTGGCTGACTGATCCTGAGTTTGTGGATTGGCTTCGAAAGAGATATTATGTGCTCTACTGCAAGCTTTGCGAGTGTAAGTTATCTTGTGCAAAGACAGCACTGAAACAGCATAAAAAAATAAAAAACACAAAGAACTGAGTAAGATTCAGCATCAAGCAAGCTCGTCAATAACATTGTTATTAGGATCACAAGTGAAATATGCAGCACAAACTGAAATAAAACTCTGTTCATTCAATCGCAGAAAATAACCTACCGATTAGCATTGTGGACGATTTAGTGTCACTTCATGAAGTGACCTTGAGAAAACAAAAAGCAACAAATGTGATTCGCCAGGTTCTCGGTTTTTATTCCATCCACGAATGTGTTGCTAAGCTAAAAGCAAACAAATTTTCTCTGATCATCAACGAAACAACAGACAAGTCAACTACCTCACAACTTGCTGCGCTGGCTTTTGTTCGGATACCTGTAACATTATGTTTGGAGCTAATCACTCTGTTTTCCAGCTTCTGGTTAAGGACTACCTATGGATTATCGCAATCAAATGCTCCTATCATTTAATTCACCTATGTAGTTTAACACACCTCAAAGACCCTCCTGAAATCAGCCAAAGACCTGTGTAGAAATATATTTTCTCACTTTAGTCTTTCCAGTAAGAGAACAGAATCTTTTAAGGAGTTCCAGCAATTTGTTGAGTTGAAAGAGGTAAAAATCTTATGCCAGTTTCTGGGTTTTTCACAGAAATTTCGCATAGCATTTGTTCATGGCTGTCCAAGCGGATGCAAGTGCAGGCCAACTGTTACCACATGTGATCTATTGATCAAAATCCTTGTCCACATTAATAGTGAAAGCGTCATAACAGATATGTTGTTCTCAGCTATTAGAGACTCCCATGGATTAGGAGATCTTTAAACAACCAGTTTAACTTTGGACCACACTTCTAAAATGTAAGCCCATCTTACAGGTAGTATGGTAATGTTTCTGTTATTGCTATAGTACATAATTACAGTCCAGGGGTTGGTTACGTCAAGCCTGTTTAGCTTGAGCACAGGATAAGTCGAGTGAAATTAAATAACACTCTTTTATCTATCTCTTGTGAATCAGTGAACTTAAATATTCTGCACTGAATACGTAGTTGTAAACATTATTGTTCTATCAAATGTCAGGAACACCAGCAATAATGTCAAATCGCGACTTCCTGATGAAATGACTATTCCAATGTTCTTTAACTTTGTCCAGGTTTGCTTGAATTATATGAGCAAAACAAAACCAAAGGAATCCCATATGCAACTCGTTTCCTAAGATAAGAACACCTGATTCTATCATGTCGTTAAAAAAGTCAATGCACCAACCAGCTCAGTGATGCTACAAAAAAGACCACCACTCCTCGATTCTTTGGTTTGAATGAGATGAACCATATATATGAGACTTTTGTCCAGGAAAGGAATCAGTACCAGTAGACCTTAAATAGCATTGGGTGGCTGCCAGAATAACATTCTCTGTACCACAGTCTGTTACCTTTTTCCTTGGAAACAGCACCCAGGAATAACCTGCCAGGAATTTTTGGATCATTGTTGCTTTTGACTACTTCTAGCCACAATATTTTTTGGCAAAATCCACAAATACAGCCATGTATAGGAAAGCCATAGGACGTGAGCTTGTCATATCCTAAAAGTAAAGTTCATATATAGTCCACATATACAGAAATGCGAGTGATGGCATTTGAGAGAAAGTGGCCATAGCCCACAACATGGGGTTAAGTATATCACAGGAAGACAGAATTTTTTCAAATAAATAAATAAATCAACCATAACATCGATATGCCAACAAGTGATAAATATCTACGTCTAGATAAACGCCAAGACTTTCTTTCTTCAACACCATCTGGATCTATTTCCTTGACTAAAGGAACAACTAGATTTATTGGCATATGAATGTGATGTCTCAAATGAAGTGCATGTCACATACTTCGATAGCCCGAGAGCCCTCCAGCACCTTGCATTTCTTCTTCAATACGATTCCTTAACATCCCCTCATCTACACGGTTCCCTCTTCTCAACAAACCCATATCTTTCAGCTTTTGCTTAAGTGTCCGCAGGTGCATGACAATACCTTGCTTATTCAACAACTCTACTATTATGGTATATGGATAGCCATGATGAAAATTGTTTGCAATAATGTCAGTTATATTGTCATTTTCACCATACAAACCAGCACGCTCGTCCTGAAGATTCCTCCCATACAAATGGCAATAATAAGATTCCAAATGAAAAGGAGTCCCGCAGTTTGAACAAAACATTCTTGTAAGATTTGTGAATAAAAGTCACAGAACAATCTTTGATACAGAAAACAGAATTTCTTCCAGGGCTTCCACTTGGAAGGAAACTGCATTCCAAAAGGAAATAGTAGTTACTTTATGTGACACCCTATTTTTTGTTGTGTATCACATATATTTTAACACCTTACTTCTCATTACTCCTCCTTTGCCCTCTTTTGGCCCCATATGCTCCGCATAGGCTTCTTCAGACCTCCTTGGCCCTCCATATGCCTCCGTAGCCACCCTTAGGCTTCTTTAGACCTCACTAGTCCTCCTTAAAGCCAGTTCTCCACTAGGCGGAAATTTGCGCGCAGAGCGACATTTTCCGCGCAACATTTTCCACTCGTAAATCAATGGTAATTTCCACTTGGGCATTGTTCTGCAGTGGAAAAACCATTCAAAATGGCGGCAGTAAACAAACGATTTCTGATGAGAAAGCTTTTGATACTTCTGCTGCTTAGAAGAAGAATTAAAAGAAAGGAGCTGAAGTACAAGAAAGACTTTTGGGTTCGGAAGATATTTCAAGAAAAAACCTCAAAAGGTGAATACTATTTGTTTGTGCAAGACCTCAGGTTATTCGACATCTTGTATTTCTTCCAGTGCTTCAGGATGACCACTACCACATATGAAAAGCTACTGTCTTGGGTTGGCCCTTTAATCACACAAAAGAATGCATGAGCCAATAGGGGCTAGTGAAAGACTTTGTGTGACTCTGAGGTACCTAGTTTCTGGAGATGCTCAAGTTAGCATAGCTGCAAGCTATCGAATAAGCCCTTCTGTTGTTGGTCGTATTTTAAGGGAAACTTGCCAAGTCATATGGGACACACTAACTGAGAAAGGTTTTCTTAGTGTCCCAAATTGTGGAGAAGACTGGAAGAAAATTGCTAATACTTTTTAAGAAAAGTGGAATTTTCCTCATGCTCTTGGAGCTATTGATGGAAAACATATTGTCATGCAAGCCCCAGCTCGTGGAGGGTCAGACTTTTTCAATTACAAGAAAACTCATAGCATAGTCTTGATGGCAGTATGTAATGCAGACTACGAGTTTCTGCTTGTGGATATTGGTGATGCAGGACGGCAAAGTGATGGGAGTGTTTATACAAACAGCCATTTTGGTTATGCTATTGACAATAACCTCTTAAATATTCTCAACCCAGAGAAGATTGGAAATTCAGATGAGATATTTCCCTATGTATTTTTGGCAGATGATGCCTTTGGATTGTAAACCTGCCTAATGAAGCCTTATCCTGGTCAGAATGTACCAGAAGACCAAAGAATTTTCAACTATCTCTCCCTCAAGATAGAAGGATAATAGAAAATACATTTGGTATTGCAGCTTCACGATTTCAAGTTCTGAGAAAGCCAATCATTGCTAGAGTTGACACTGTTATACAAAATTACAAAGGCTGTAGTTGGACTACACAATTTCTTAATGCGGAACATATTACCGGACGACAGCCATAGTTATTGCCCATTTAACTATGTTGATCAAGAAAGTGTAAATGGTGTTAAGGCTGGTACAATCCCCTTTGATGAAAATGTATGAGAAGTATTATATAACATGTTTTTGGCATTATTGCATTATAAATGAACAATATTTATTACAAACAAATAATATTATATTACACTGATGTATATAATTTATAATAAATATTATTATTAAAATATCTGTTAATAACATAATTAATAATTATATAATTTATATAAAATATAAATCACATTGCACTCAGACCTCTCTCCTTAATATAACAAATCAATGGTTTTGTCAACATGGATAAGGGAAGTTTGAACGGTGTTATCTTCCTTGACCTAAAAAAGGCATTTGACTGTGATGACCATAGTATTTTGCTAAAGAAACTCTTCCACTATAGAATAAGAGAAAAATCATTTAAATGGTTCCAGTCTTATCTCTCTAATAGGACTCAAATTTGTAAAGTTAATCAAATATTATCTGACAAAAGAATCGTTAAATGTGGCGTACCGCAGGGTTCAAACCTCGGACCATTACTATTTTTATTGTACATAAACGATCTTCCAAATTGTTTGTCAACATCGACGACTGTTAGCATGTTTGCTGATTATACAAACATTTCGATACAAGGCAAATCGGCAATGGAAATTTAGGATTCCCTAAATCACGACCTAGAGAACATACACCAGTGGCTATTGACTAACAAGCTCACTCTGAATAGGGAGAAGACCAAATACATGGTAACTGGATCTAGACAAAAGCTCTCTAATATGTCAAATGAACCGGAAATCCACGTAGGTGAAACAAAAATCAAAGGAGTAAGTTTTTCTAAAACTCTGGGTGTTGTTATAGACGAACATCTTACTTGGGAAAAGCAAATCGAAAACATTCAAACAAAAATTTCAAAAGGTATTGGCACGTTGCGGAAAATGAGAAAATTAGTTCCAAAAACAACATTAACAAAAGTCTACAATGCCATTATTCTACCACATTTCGACTATTGTAGCCTTGTATGGGACAATTGCAGTGATTATTTAATTGATGAATTACAAAAATTGCAAAACAGAGCAACATGCGTAATCACTGGTAAAACATACGAAACGAGATCACGAGATGTTTTAAAAGAACTTCACTGGCAACCCCTGAAAGAACGCTTTAAACGAAAGAAATCAATTTTTACGCACAAGATTAGGAATGACAAAATGCCAAGTACCACAACGAATATGTTTGATATTAAAACTCAAGGTGCAACCTCCGTAGCAAAACCAAGATTTCAGCCTTGACAAACCTAATACAAATTTCATGAAAAAAAGCATAAGCTATGCAGCTGCTTCGGCCTGGAATAATTTACCCCCAGAGGCTAAAGACCCAGGCTTGAGTAGCAAGAAGTTTAGATCAATTCTCGATCACTATTCTCACTATTCTCTAGAATGATGAACATTTCCGATGTCTATTGTATTTACTTAAAGGGGCAGTGTCACCATTTGCGCACTTTTTCTGCACATAACAAAAAATAAATCGGAAATTGTCGGAAATTGATCGGCTCTTGCAATCTGCCTTTCAAGGAGTGAACATTAAATTATACACGTCTTTACACGGGTGATGACAAGCATGGTAAGTGAAAAAATTTACATATTTATAAATACTTATGTCATTGGATCTCTTTAACCTTTTTGACCTTACTGTATGTACATGCTTAAATTTTACGTAATTGACTTAGGATTCCTATTGTCAATGCAAGAGTTTGTGTACTTCGAAAAGGAAACAAAATGGCACAAGAGGATGCCCTTGCAAAGGCAGAAATGTAGAATGCCGAGAAGGTTGTCGATGTGGTACTCGAGCTAAACCGTGCAAAAATATAAAGGTAATTATATGAAGCCGGAAAGATAAAGATCGTCGTTTCGGAAGCTTCCTTCGCACGCTTATAGTCTACATGAGTTTGTTTCAGGGAGCGACTGTTGACGTTGAATGCCAAAGGAAGTCAGCTTGCAGCATGTACAAGCAAAAGCAAACAAAACAAGGACTTTGCCTAAGTCACAAGCCACAACTGACAGAAGACATGCAAAGAGAAAAAGAGCACAAAGATGTGAAGGTAGCTTTATATGTTGTATTTGAAATTATTGAAACTGTACAGTATGCCATCTTTTGAGTGAGTAGAAAGCCAACAGTAAATTGTAGTTATACTCATACTGTATGTCTGTATTTGTGAATTTATATATAATGCCATTTTTTTATTATTTATTCTCAAAGATATCCCAATTTTGTGTAAGAATTATTATACACATAACAATATGAGTAGTATATAGTTTAAAACATCCAAGAATTGGCTCGATTGCCATATAAAAGTAGTGAAATGATGTCATTGAATGAGAATAATACTTCATATGTTTTGTATCGAAATTATATGGAAACCAACCCTAAGAATTGTTGTCCTAAAACATTGATGAAATAATTGGTTCATAGTAAACAATATTATGTAAACAGCCTGTTTGGATTTAACTATTTATGTCTATTAAATTAGGACTTTATTTACACCCTGGATGAAAAGATGATAAGGAAGTTAGCCATTCGTAGTCTTCGTAGAGGGATTGGAAGCATGGACTATATCGATAGTTTACTCATTATGGAGGATGATTTGGATGACGAAGATGAAAATGATAGTAGGATGGGTGAGTTTGGAGAACCATCAGAACATGTAGGCCCAAATGTTGATGAGATGCATGGTTCTAGAGATACTGCACCTTCAAGTTTAGACCCATCCCACGATAGCAACTCACCTGCAGAAGTACCAGACTGGTGCAAATGTAGGCAATGTAGACCAATGCCACAAGAAGTGGAGAATAAGTGCTGTGGTCAAAAAAAGTGTATAGCCCAGTCTTCAAGATTTACCAAGTTATGCCTCGATGTGTTGGAACTCTGTATTCGAAATACTGGAGACATTAGGAATGACAGGGAGGACACAAGCACAAGGGCATTCAGGAAAGCTGCCTACAGACAGTTCATATTAGCACGATATGGCTACTTAGGAAAGGGAAACAGACGTGTTTGTCCATCTTGTGTTGTGCTGAAGATAAAGGAACGATATCCCTCTGTAACTGGGATATATATGGGATATAGAGATCGTTAACAATATGACAATATTAGTTTCACAATGTACATTTTATTTTGATATTTATTTTGTTAATATTAGTATTCACAGTGGTTTTCAATATCCATTTTACTGTAAGTCCTTTGAAAACCTGCTTTTTCTTTGGACAATATCTTTGATAGGCTATTAGCACATTCAATGCTACCAGTATGCCTGCAAATGCAAAAAAAATCAATAACATTAATCCACCTCATGAATTAAACAAAACTAATTTGCCTTAATTGCAATTTTTTATTTACCTAAAACGAGTGTAGTATTTAAAACTGGCGAGCAATTCTGGGTTCAGAATGACTTTTTGCAGCTGAGCAAAGTCTTCATCTCTCCAGTCAAACCAGGGTAATGATTCATTATGTTCCCCATCTTCATGATCACATTTGCCACCAATCCACTCATGTTTGTTGCACACATGGTGCAACAATGAGATCCACATATCCTATAAAATTGAAAGAATAATTTGATAAATATTAATAAGTACATCATTTGGCCCAGTTTGTTGCTTGCGGAGCAAGTATAAAAGTGCCTATAATCATGGATATAGAATAATCATAAAGATACCTTCATAACTTTCAATGCTTCTTTGTCAGAAGTTGAGTCATTCTTCCTACACATATTGGAACAGTGCCAGAAATGCTGTACGATATGTGCGGACCAATCTCTTATTTTCTTCATGTGCTTGGGCTTACCCAGCTAGTATAAGAACAAAATAATATACATGAAAAGAGTTAATCATAGACACACAATCTCAAAATATGCTAAGTACTATTACCTTTGCAAGACACTTCTTTATACTTTTAGATTTATGCCAAACGTCAAGACTATGTGTAACACTTTTAAATTGGATTTCTGTAATAAAAGATACAAAAGTGATAATAGTGATGGCAATGCAAAGTCAGGGGGGAAAGCACCACGCCATAAGGACCATTGTTTTCACCTTGAAAAATTAAAGGGCACTTGGACGAAAACTGGGATAAAAACTGGGATGCACAAGCCCCTTATCCCCCCATTTCCTGCATCAATGATTACAGTTAAATGACGTTGCACACATAATGTATCAATTAGGTTAAGAACTGGAAATGATTTAAGTGGAAATAACGAGAAATGACAGAATTTATAAGCACTAATACTAACCAAGTAGCGTTTTAACAGAAGAGGAGGCATCTGTAACAAATTCCACAATTTTTACGCTGTCAGCCTGTAGGTTCTCCAATCCCCTCTTCACTGCTTCTCTTTCCATGTTGGTGGATATCAGGCCAACGTGCCTCTTGTCCAGAATTTCAATGCCAATGATATAATTCGTAGTTGACTCCACCATAAAATAGCAAAGGTTCTTGGCATTGAAACCTGGGGAGTCACATTGACCATCACCACCAACAATTATCTCCTTTCCAACAAATTCACCAAGAATTTCTCGTTTCATCCAACACCACCACTCATTGACTTCTGGGACCAAATATAATTTCTGATATTGGTAATAGCTTGATTTGCTTAAAAATGTCAGCCCATAAAAATTAGCCATACGTTCCACTTTGCTGAAGTTGTTCCCAGACAGTAAAATGGATGCAGCTGCCAAGAGGTTGTTTGCATATATCCCATTCACTTCATGTGATGAACAAAATCTAAACTGGTGGCCAGATGAACATGCGCTATTAATAATGAGAGTTGTACCAATTAGATGATATTTGGTTCTTGGGATTTTTTCACAACCAGGTTCTTGACAACGGGTTTGAAAAACACGAATGAGCAAGTCAAGAGCACAGATAACTTTTGTTTCATTCACCATCTTGAACTCTCTTTCTAAAGAATACACTTTATCACCACGACTCAATTTACGGTGTGGTCCATGACAAATGGTATGACAATGGGTCACTTCATCATTATGGGTTTCCTCATCACTCTCATTACTACTCATGTCATCACTAGAACCTGCTGAACTGCCAACAAAAATAAAGGAAAAGTTACATCAATAAATGCCATGACATGAGCTCTTATATGAAATACTTTGTAGCATGACAAAAAGGTGTGAATGACTTATTTTGCATGTACAGTACAATTCTTTTGTTTTTATATTCTCACTTGTTCATAATGGCATCAAATTCCATTGACCTATAAATAAATATTGATGACATTAATTATTAACTATCATTAATATTCATATCTATACATAACACCTACATAAAACCTTGAAACCTTGACATAAAAATTATAAGTGAATAAAGCTGCAGAACATACATGTCCCCTTCTGAATCTTCACTATCCAACTCACTACTCCTTTCTTCAAGTATACTAATAGCAAACTGGGAGGTGTCTCTATAAGAAAGTGTGTTGCTGAACAACAAATTATCTACTAATTAAAATAAAAGGACAGAAAAACAGAACCATGAAGTGTAAGAGGCCTTGTGATACAACTTTGTTTCACTTGTGATACAAAAGAAAACACAGTGCCCGGGGCATGTATGTACTGTAGATAAAGTGTGCATTATTTCATTCCGTAATTAATAGCAGAAATTTTAACTTCAAAACTTTTTTTCATAATAAAATTATCTATGAAAGCTTATACTACCTGCTATCTTTGTCAGAACAGTTGTCATCACTACTTTCTGGCTCATCATCAGTGAATACAGATGAATTGAGTGAGTCAGCTGTTATGGTTAAACTACATTCAAACAAGTGAATACAAATAAGGAATAAATCAAACAATAAATTCAAAACACACAAACTGTTATTCACTGACATATTGTTTCAAAAATATGTAAAAGTAATAGACACATATACAACATAAAAGTATACTATAACTACCTTCCATGAGAAGTCATAGAGGGTTGTAACATCATGCATGAGTTGCTATCAATTTCAGTTTCATCATTTATTGTCATTGGCTGGATTGGCGACTCGGTTACTGTGTTAAGAAGAAGCGTACTGCCTCTGCCTTTCAAGGGTGTAGACGTTTCTATTTCTAAACAAATACATTTATATTCATTATACATATGGCATTAATATACAAACAATTATATAATATGGCAATTATATAATAGTGTTTATACAATGTCTGCAATAACAGCATATCACCAAGACCATGCTAATTTTTTATCTACTATATTCACAATTATACTTGCCAACATTGACTTGGCTAGTCGTTTGACTTGCTGGTTGCTGTGATTCAGCCTCTCTTCCTTGTACCTTCGCACTATTATCACAATAGGACCTGAAGTCAATCGATATAATTTAATATAGTCATTACTTTGTTGACGGGAATTATGTAGATCAGCTCGTTAATAAATAAGATATACTGATTTGGCATGAATTAAACTACTGTAAATCTATTTACTTTCTTCGATACTCCAAGGACAGGAGATGGACAGCGAAATCGCTGTCACTTATATGCCCGTAACCAGCGTCGTTTTTCGCATCCCTCCATGCCGAGAATACTTTATATGACAAATATATTCTTTTCTGTTGCTTTGTCCAGTTGTCTGTGCGTAAATACTCGTTTTCGTCGAGAATTATCGCGCTTTCCGCCGTGCTAACATTCACTTTTGGACGCCATAATTTATTATAGTAAAACTTGAAAAGACCAGCCTGGTGTTTTCAAGTTCATGTATGCGCAGAAACAGTGCGCAGTGGCTGACACTGCTCCTTTAAGGGGCTGGTAACTTATTTGTATAGATTTGTATAGTATAGTGTGTTTTTAACCTGTAAACGAATGGCCTCTTGAAAATCAGGTGAGTTAGGGCCCTGAAGAGCTACCGTTCTAAAATATTTTTAAATAATAATAATAATAAATAATGATTCACTAATCATGTACAAAATAAACATATTTGTAATAAAATTACATGTTTATACAATATTAATTTTAACAGTTAATATTATAACATGTTCAAAGCACCATTTTAATCGATCATTACATTACATTACATAGACCTACTTTTTGGCCTTGGAGCCTCCCTCTCATTAGTAAATTATGCAAGGTGATTGGCTCATCATTAATGAGAGTGAGGCTCCCAGGCTAAATGCTATAATTATCAAAAGAGTTAAACTTTGCAACAAAAACTGATTAAACTTTGCAACAAAAATTTTGTAAACTAATTATAACAGATGTTTACAAATACACCTCAAAATGCATTTCAACCAATAACTAATCTGATTCCTCAAATTCTAGGTCATACAATACTTGCTGAATCTTAAGTGTTTGGCTTGTCTATTTTTTTTGGCAGGAAGCCCCTTCAAAGTGAGATAAGACTCTTACAAAATAGAGTGTCTGCATCTGTTGTTTCACTTACTGCAGGAATGTTGGGTTTCTCCATGTCTTTCAGTGTTTTCACTAGCATGGTATCAACAGCATAACCAATCTCAGCCCTCTCCTTAGCAGATTTTCTGGACTTCATGTTGATGGGGCTATTATCAACCACTTCCTGAAAATTTCTTTTTTGTTCCAACTTGGGTTACAATCTCTTGTGTATGTTTGCTACTTGACGATTGGACGTCCACTCTTTCATCAGGGGCTGTGATTATGTTAACATTGCTTTGTGTGGGCTTGTTGACTGTCTTGTCACAAAGAGATGCAAGTTCATTATAATACTTGCACATTGCAACTTTGGATTGTGCAGCACCTGACTTTGTTGCCCTGGCTTGTCTACCCAAGAATCTTTTCAAATTATCCCTCGAATACTTTAACTGGGTCTTTAGGAATTCAACTATAGAAACATATATTTTAATTGTAATATGGCATTGGAGAGAATAACATGTTAAAGGCTGTTTTGGCATGAAAGGGTTTCTATAAACTACCATAAAGTACACTTCTCCCCCATTTACAATGTTATGTCATGAAATGTTTAAAATCACTAAAACTATAGTTTAATCACTCAATAAAACTATCATTGCATCCATCTCTGGCCATTATGGCAAAGCCAAATCCAATAAGGGCCATTCCAGTTAATATCTACACCCCCCAGTTCACTAGCTCTTGATTTATTCACCGCCTA